TCTCTTACAATTAATTATAAGTTTAAATTATTAGAAATGTTTTTAGGAAGTTACATTTCAAATCGAACAATCATTTCTGATTTCCAAACATTTAATAATATGATTTTTATGATAAATTCATTTTTCAGCATATTCGTATTATTTCTTCCAATTTCTCACAATTCTCAACTTATTATATTATTCACAGAAGTAAGAAAAAAAAGTGAAACAATAATATTCTATGCACCTTCTTTTGTTTTATTTTTCTCGTCTGTTTATCAGAAAATAATACTTTTCCTATCAGTTCCCTTTCATCTTAATCTATAGGTATCTTCCTTACAACATTTCATAATTAATCAAAGAATAAGTTGTAGGATTTTTTTTGGGCTGACAATAATATTAAGACAGAATGCATTGCAAGAAAGCATTTTAATTCTTAAAGTTTGTGCAAGTGGACAATAGTTGAAAATACAAAAGGTAATTGAGGAGGAAAAGTTTTTAATATTGTCCAAATCAAGGGTAGTTTAATTTAAGCCACAAATGAATTGAACGGAAAGATTTAACGATCGCACAATGAGTTCTTCCAAAATTGGTGAAAATGTTCCACTTTCTACAGAATAAACAATAAAAGATCAATAGTTGGCGGTATTCTTTAACATTTGAGAAATGTATTTTCTTATTCACCAACTCGGCCAGATGATATCTTTCAGAATTTCGTTGTACTTTAAACAAATCACAACAATACACGTGACGTGAGGTACCATATAGATTGAGAAGCACAATGGCAGTTAACACTATCAGTTCTAATACTAACCATTATTCAGTATATCAAATAAATGAGTGAATAAATCATTAAAGAAAAAGTAACAGGTAAAAGTTAACGGTCTAAAGGTAAAGAAAAAAGATTAAAAATAAAAATTTGAATTATGTAACAGCACTATTTCCGTTAATGTAATAATTGCACTAATTTCTTCATTAAGGCTTTTGATCAAATAATTCATTTGCAGTGAAAAAAGATACCGAAGAGAAGAGAAGGAGAAAGGAACCTTTTGAACAATAAATTAAATGAAAGTTTTTGAAATATTTTTTGTTTGTTTTTAAAGTTTTTTTAGAATTTGACGAATAGATTTTTTGAAAAACACAAAAAACAATTAATTCTATTGCTGAAACAATTGAATTTTAAGAAAAATTTGGGAAAAAAAGCAATATAAAATCTCTTTTTCATAAAAGGAAAGTTTGAAAAATAATTTATTTCACAGTGTGCCCTTCCCATTCCTTCCCTTCGTCAAGAGAGAATTTGTTTGTAATCCTTTCTTGCAAAGTACATTGATAGCACTTTCTCGTGGTGCACTAAAACAATGCATTAAATTACCTTATATGAAAGAATGATACAGAAAATTGAATGAGATTGAAAACCGGATGAGAAAAGAACAAGGATAAAAGAGTTTATGGAATAAGGAAAGAATCATAGTTTTGTTGGAAAGCTTATTTTAAGAAGCTTAGTTTAGATAGGGAAAAGAAAGGGTGAAGAAGAGGAAGAGAGAAAAAGAATGAATTAGCTAATGTTAGCTAAAAGGGCGAAAAAAAAAGAAAGAAGAGGCCTATGTTTAGATATGAAAGGCTTAGGTTTCGTTGCAAATTCCAGACTAATCAATCAAATACGAAATGCCTTCCGGCTTTCCTTTCCATCTGTCAGATAATATCCTTTTGCTTTTATTTAAAACAATAATAAGGTGTACTTAGTATTCCACTTTCAGGACATTTCTGCAAAATATTCACTACTTCATTGGAAAATATCAAATGACCTTATGTAATCAAACACTGACAGACTTTCTTTTGAGAATATTTAAATATCAATTAGAATTATAATAAAAGTTTCATTGAGAAAGTGATATATGACTCATTCTTGTAATATTAAAAATTTCGTCTTCTACTGATAGAGATTGGATACATGAATGATAAACATTTGCAAACAAAATTAGAATTATCAAGTTCAAATGGGCGCATACTAATTCACACTTGCACCATATTACTTACTATTTTATTTGCAACTGAAAGAGATTAATGATAAGATGATGACAAGAATATAGTAAAATAAACTTAAAAAATTTAATCAACATTTGTTTTTACATATATATCCCTTCTTATCTTTTTATCCAACCGATTATTTTAATTAATTACTAATCTACTAAACTAACTGTTACCAGTAAACGGAACATTTTATTTCCATTTTTCTCCACTATCAACAAAATCCTTCGAATAAGGCATTTAATAGATAAACTATATGGGTATAGTTCACCTCAACTGAACTCAATAAAATGAACGAATGAATGCATTTTAGCAATTTATTTGGTACTTTAATAACTGAACTATTTTTCTGAGTATGATACTAAAAAAAATGTGAGGAACTTTGGCCTGGGAAAAAATAACAATCAACATATTTGAGATATTTTATTCTAATTAAATTTTAAGAAATCCTTCATTAATGAATTTATGAAATGAGCTGCATGATGAGAGAGGGACAGATAGGGTAAGTTAAGTTAAAAATCTTTGCAAAGATTTAACATAATATTTCTTTATTATTTTATATCACTTTCTCTCTCTTTTTCTTCATAAAAAGATATGTTTTTTATTTCCTTGTAGAGAGATATGAGGCTTTCTTTTTCCCTTAGCAAATTTTCGAAAGTTTATTTATTTGTTCACACAAATTTATTTGTCTTTCAATATCACTTTGTACACAATAAGCGGTATTTATCTTTTTTTACTCTCGCTTCTCTCCTCTCTTATCAATTTTGATGAAATTTATCAGTTGAAGATAATTTGAATGTTTTCTAATCAAACATCAATAAGGACTATACTTTTATTTGATCTTAGCTCAAAATTAAATCATTCAATATCAGTTCACTTTAATGCTGTCTGCAAAATGGAATCATTTCCCATTTACATTTACTTTCAGTCAGTTAGTTATCAAATATCACACGAATGAATAAAATGGTAAAATGTTCAATTAATAGCCCTCAATCACTTCTACGAACATCTGTAAGAAAATCAACAAATGAGTTCACGGAAATACCAGATGTACATTTTGTAATAATAACAACAACAATAACACACTTTAAAAAGTTATGAAAAGATTCTTGAAAAGAATAGAAACATTTCGGAATGGAGAAGAGTAAATGAATAGATCTATGATGAATAATTTAGTTTAATATGAATTTAGCCATAGCTACTTCCATACCATAGTCATTTCGAAGAGTTTTTAAATTTTAAAATTATAATCAAACTGAAAGAGTAATAAATATATAAGTAAGAGATGTGAAAGAGTTCTCAACGAAATATTTAACTTTGAATATTCGAAGTTGAAGCTTAATAAATATGTTTTTCAAATGACTAAAAAGTATAAATGACCAATTTCATTTTCATTATTTGAGTATATTATTAAATTTATAAACTTAATCAATTGAATATTGTGAGACAATTTTAATTCCAGTTATTTCTAATTATTTGTTTATCTTTAATGGACATCTCCTTTTCAAATCCATTCAATGATTTTGTAATGTTTGAGTGTTCCAAATTTGGTTAAATAGCAGCCCGAGAACTTTTTTGATAAATGACAAATTATTTTAATTTAAATTTCAAGTATCATCGAATTTAATGTTCGTTTTACATTCATATTGCCTGTCTTCAAATAGAATATCTGCTGCTAAGTAACAAATAGCTTGAATTTTGAATTTTCTTCAAAACAAATATCTGAACTGAATGATATGGCTAAAGCTTGTCAATCCCAATTCCTCATAACATTGATGACAGAGGTAAAAATGTATTAACAAATATGGAAAGAAAACAATGTCCTTTAACTATGATTATGCATTTCTATTTTTAAAGGAACGTAAATGGTGAATGAATCGTCTAGGAAGTAATGATAACCATGATAACAATAATAGTTCTAATAATATATTTACAGCTGATAACTGAAACTAATCAATCACTGTACTATTTTCAGAAACTATCATCAAAAGACATTGATGATATTCGCGTGATATACAGGTAAGATTCATTTCCTATTTACTTCACATTTTGCAAATCCCTATAAAAAATTAAAAAAAATGCAAAGTTAACAGAGTTAACATGCAACAACAGACTATCTATCATCGAGAAGGAAAATTTGACGAGATGAACTTTGATCCTAATCAATACAAAAGTTAGTACTACGTTAAAGAAAATAAAAATTTTAACAACGCGAAAATGATCACATCACAAACAATAGAAATGCGAAAATGGCGAAGAGAAGAAAATGAATGATCTTTCAATTAATTTTAAATGTTTAAAGCAATGGCATGACAATCATTACTCAAAATAACTGACAACCCATATGTTATTGATTCGGCAAAATAGAAAATGTTAAAAATAGATTTCATTTTTTATTCAAATTTGTCATTTGACGAATGGTTCTTTTTCCATTTTGAATATTCCACAAATAATTTACTAAATTGTAGCGCAAGAGACGTTATTATATCTAGAAAGTTGAAGAAAAGAAGTAACTCTTCATAAATATTCGAGAACGGATTCAATTCAATTCACCACCTTTTTTTAATTTTAAGAGAAAATGGAATCTTCTATTGTTCATCCATTCTTAATATTTTAATGAATTAATTAAGGGATGAATTCTAATGAATTAATTAAGTGATGAATTCTAATGAATTAATTAAGTGATGAATTTTAATAAATTCACTAAGAAATAATTTGAGCATGAGAAAAATGAAGGTTGGCTGCATTCCAAACGAAGTTTACATGAATAGACAAAGGGAACGAAAATCAATGCTGTCTTGTTGAACAGTTGAACAACGTGGTCTAGCCGCTGGGGTGTAGTAGTGAGAGAAGGAATGATTGACCTTCACAAAGAGGGAGGAAGAGGAGCAGGAGAAGGCGGACGAAGGTCAGTTAGAATGAAAGAGTAATAACCTCAAACATCCTCCATACATATAAAGGGTTATGAAGAGATTTCTTCGATCCACTAAATAATGACTGACTCAATACCATCCCTACAACTACCATCATCATCACCATCACCACCGCCACCATTATCATCATCACCACCACCACCACCATCACTACATTACCATCATTATCATCATCGTCATCTAACAATAGTATGGAACAGAACTGTCTTGGTTAGGAATGAGAGAGAGAAAGGGATGAGGTAGTTTTCGTTCCTCTTCCTCTTATTCTTCTTCCTCTATCATTCTGATTGCACTAATACAAGGACAGCCCATGTTCTCCATTGTCCTTAATCTTCTTACAAACCTGGCGTCAAAGAAAGTAGGGCTCTTTAAATGGTTAATGATCAAATTAGATGGTGGAGTGATTATTGATCTTATTTGAACTGAGATGAGATCGGAATTTAAAAAAATGAAGTTGTGAAGTGATATTTGTTTAGCATTTTTGCATTATGAACTTTGAGCGTGGCTTAGTTCTTATCACTCTTATCAGTGCATCCAATTACTTTTTGTATTAAGCTGTCTCTCTCTCTAATCACTCAAAAGATAGGTCAGGAAGAGAGACAGAAAAATGATAAGCGGACATCTTCAAGCAAATAATAATGGTATTCATGATAGAGTGAAATTTCGATTTGAATTTGAATACATGGCAGTTTGTGAGTTTTCGAAATTTTCGACACTATTTGAAAATCTTTTTATGGACCTCTTTTATTGGTACGAAATTGTGGAAGATATTATATTACTATAATAATTGCGCAATTTCATCATTCTCAAAAGTCATTACTAGAAAAAGTTAAAGAATATTAAAGAAATAAAATGTTTCCTATTGATACTTTTTAATCTTGACTTAAATTAAAAATCTTGAAAATGGAATGACAAAGAACAAGAATGAAACTAATAACCAAACCAAAACATGATCTTTCTTTTACGACTGAAAATAGTGAACACATCATATCACTGATAAAGGGTCAAGAAAGCAATGAGTTGATAATCAGAGGATTTTGTTGGTAATTTCAATAGCACAAATAAATTTTTATTTGGGTCGTCTTTTTTCTTTTAGAATTTTTAGGTTAAATCTTATTTGCATTTTCGTATTTGATAGACTGACTTCCTTTCTCTAGAATAATTTCGAAGAATTAAAACATATGCAATTGTTGTGAACACAATTAGATCTCTACCATAAATTCAACAGATTTCAGGCAATTTTTCTTTCCCAGAAGTTGTTAACAATAATGTCTTAACTTACTTACATTGTAACATAGTTAAGTAATTTGAATATTTTAGAAGCCATCAAAGGAAATGAGGTGATCTGAACATAAGGCTAATCCACATACACTTTTATTTCGAGACCTTTTTTTATTTGCTACATTATTTAAAACGAAAGATCGACAAAAGCTATGCGCAAGTCGGTTATCTCCGAGATAGAAATTCAGAGAAGACACTAATCAATTATGCTTCTTTCTTAAGTATATTAGAAATGTTATTTCAACATCATATGGGTAAAAGATTTGAAGTATATTTTTCAAAATACAAAAAAAAGCCCATTAAAAGTTTCTCATCACACAGTTCAATGATATTTCCCTATTCATTACTATTTGGAAGCATTTTAAAACAACAAAAATTTTTTTTTCCGAATTTTAAATGGAAGATGAGAAGTAAAGGACAATCTGTTGTATGAAATGAAGCAGAAATAAAGTGAAATGAATTCAAAAATATAAAATTCCATAGCAAACTTTAGTCAATTTGTCAGACAAACATTCAAAATGAAACTGAATAATAAGCTAAGAGAATGTCTCCAATATTTGCGCTTTCAAATCAACCACAATGTATTCCACTCAAAGAAATACCTGTTCAGGAAAATTGGTGATTATGATATACTTATAAGCTTTAAAGGAAAGAGAAATCCCGATTCATTATAGATTTGTTCGGATATTGATGCCAAACTTTTATGATAACTAACGTTACATTAATAATTGATTATTATTCATTGTTACTTTACAAAATAGTAAACAAACAGATCGCATGCAATTCGTTCATTGAGAGAAAAATACTTCTATAAAAAAAAAAGAAAGGAACAATGAAATCATTGCAGTTGCCTGAATAAAATGAAACTGAAATACCAGTTCGGATTTAGAAGTTTGTTAAAAAACGAATTCTGTCCAACAAATGAAGTTTTATAATGGAATAGGTTTTAATGAATGTACAAAGAAAAGTTTATCAAATCATAAAATACAGATACTTATTAAATTAAGCCTGACAAATTTGAGATAGTTCCTCCTCAGATTTATAAAAATGAAAGACGGAATATAACAAAGGATCAGCAGCATTACAGAATATTTTTAATTAAATTCGTGTGCGCTGTTATCAACTATTGATTTCTCCACATATTCGAAACCATTTACTGCTGCTATTAATGCCACTAATTTCTCATTCAATTTTGTCATAAGATTTACATCATCTTTTGCATGCCTACTCGAAATAACCATTTTCTGGGAACTAATTAATAATTCGGAGAGCTCCGCACTCGTTTCTGGATGGCTTTCCACCTGCAATCAATCTCCAATTTTTATCAGTAGATACAATATTTGCTTCTTATAAAAGAAACTACCAAATACTCAGTACTGTACAATGTCTGAATCGTCTTCTGTAAAAAGATATTACCTTTGCGATTAAATGTGAAACAAATTTCCCCGAGGCATGAACCGCAATTTTTTCATTTCTTGCAAGTAATATCAGAAGCGTTAAAAGAAGACCGGAAGGTAGATCTGCGCACTTGCGTAATTGGCTAACTAATTGATCTTTATAGGTTTTGATCAATTCCACGCTGAAAATAAAAACGAGAAATTCCAAAATTAATTGTGAACGAGATGATAAAGCAGCAAAATAGGATTTCAAAATTCTACGTCTGAAGCGACTAATTAGCTTCTAGCAAAAGTTTTCGGAAATCAGATTGAGTTGAATAATTGGATAGAATTTGTTGAATCTAAACAGATATGCAAACTTTCAATGAAGAGCAGCAACAATACATAATAATAATAAATTTGCTTAAAGACGAAAGAGTGAAAATTTTATTTAAATTAATATAGAAAAATAACTATGTCAAGAAAGCAATGCAGAAGCAGATGAACCTGAATAATATGTGATAAGAATTGTTTGCTTTTTTTAAAAAATCAGAAAGAATAAAGTTTATAAAAATTTAAAAGAAAACAGGACAAAGCACAACCGTTGCTTTTTGTCGGGCACTTTTAAATTCAAGGCGCAAACGGTTGATAAACAAATACCAAATACTGCATCATGAAACGACTCGAGATCCTTTGCTGACAATGCTGCAAACAATTTCTCAACTGCCTTACGACTTCCTGCACTTTCAATAATCGCTATTGTTTCATTACGAGCCTAAAACTTAAAATTTAAGGAAAGAGGCGGAAATGAGTTTTCCAATGAAATATGATGTCACCTATACGCTAAATTCGTTAAATTTATGAACTTAGATGAAATTTATAAGAAACGCACTAAAATGAACTTCATCTAAATATGGATTATCAGTAACTACAGTATTCGTCAAATTTAAGCAATTCCAGTCAAGGTTATAATTCCTTATTTAATACCACTTGCTAAAACAGTAGCATGAATCACGCATTACTATAAATTACCTTTGTGGTAAGAGTATCAACATTTTGTGTTCTCGACACGTAAGATAATACATTATTTGCAAAATGTGTACACAATGTGCGAAGAAGATGTATCTTGAGATTAGCAGCGACTGCATCTGAATTTACTTCTTTCGCAAATACTGCATTATTTTTAGAAGGTAACAACTCCAAAAAATATACTGTTTAAATTTTTTCTAAAATTTTGAGCCACCACCACTAACTTACTAAATGGCAGAATAATTCTTGGGAAATATCGATAAATTATCAAATTTTTCCATCCATCAGTATGAACCTTCAAACATTCGCAGACATTCTATGCAGAACTGATAACATAATAAATTTAAAAACATTCACGTAAGAACATGCTAAAATTAACCTTCAAAAGTGACTGCACCATCTTCGAAAATACAAATATTATCATACAGAGTACATAATGTTTCCTGCAGTTGTGCATGTGCACGCTTTTGATCTTGTACGGATATCGCATGCACATCATGCAGCAATAGTTCTGCACGAGTTCTTAACAAAGTCTCTGCTTTTGTCCGTATCTGCTCAGTAACATCCTCTAGCAGTTCATTTGGTATATCACTCGTTCTTTTTAGTTCCTTGATTAGTTCTTCTTTGGGTAATCTAATAAGCAAGTCTAAAATTCGTCTCGAATAAAATTTAAAAAGGAAAAGGAACCAATTCAATCGATGTTGTAAATCATTAAACTCATAGCAAATGAGAAAAAAGTAAACAATTTCATTATCTCACAAAAAAATGATAGATGCTATCAAAAAGTCACATAAGGACTTGAATTAATCACTAAAAAATTGCTTCTTTCTTTACTGCTGGAACTAGAATAAATACCCAGAGTTGATTCTTCAGGAAGAATATGTTTCACAGCTTTTCCTCTCCCACTTTTACCTTTCCTGCTTTTCGCTGTACCCCAATCTTCATCTTGTTTCTATAAACAAGTTCAGTTGCTTTTAAAAAAGTTATAAACGACAAAAACAATATGATTAAAACAATATAAATGAAGTACGCACAGACATTTCAAGCAACACACCTTTTCCTGTTTTTTGAATGCTTTCTGTTTATCCCAGATAGAAAATATCTCTTCAGCCCGTGTACTGATCAAGCCATCCAAGGCTTTCATTGCAAATGAGAGAAGTTGTTGACTGTAGATATAAGAAGTATCGGGAATGAACAGCCAACCCTTTAAAAACAACAAATATGAGATATGAAACATGAACTTCTTGCCAGAAAGGAAATATGACATATAAGTAGGTAACAGCTGAATTAATCAATTCATGACAAACCTCGTTATTCTTCATCAAAAAAACAACTGCTTGCTTAATATCTGCCTTACTTTGAATAATTTCTGGCATATGCAACCGGACATCAGCAAGCGATTTAGAATTCATCTAAAATATTGGTAATAATTTAAATTAAAATACACTTCAATTTTCTGTAGGAATTTCTAAGAGAATGTTAAATAGCTTTTGAAACAAATTTTATACTGGCTAACCTCTCCCTTCACAGCTTCTTCAATTTCATTCCAAACTTTTATACTTAGAATAGCGGATGGGAAATATATCAATGTCGAACACTCTGTGTCTTTCAATATTTCTTTCATATAAAGTTTCGGATCTGATACGAAAAGTTTCTTAAATACTGCCAACTCTGAAATTGTGAGTTTTGAAATGTATCTAAGCATTAAACTGAATCATATGACTATTTGATGAAATTGCAAAAGCCATCAACTTAATTTTCAGAACCTCCGAAAAATATATTAAATGGTTAATAAATTAAAATATTACTCAACATTCCCTCTTGCAAGAAAGTCTTTAATATATACTGTTTAACCAGAATGGCACAAATATTTGGATGATACAGACAGTGGCTTGAAGTACGAGCACCAACTATTTTTCCAGGGGCCTGAAAAATTGGCGTTTCAATAACAGAAGTGGAATGGCAGTAAGACAACTGCAAAACTCCGAAATATTAATAGGAATGATACAATAGAGAATTTAAATGAGTGATTAGCATTCTTTCAAAAATGAATATTCCAAAAAACCTACTATTTGAAGAAACATTTATTCAATTATAATAGCAGCATTAGGAGGTGGTTGATCCGTTGTTGTAAATATAAAAATTTCACAATGCAATATTGTGGTATCCCAAACTATATTATTTTTTTTCAATAGAAGGAGATCTAACCTCGACTGAGCTCAGAAAAATTAACAAATATAAAAATATAAATTAGCGTTAGCAGGGTAATTAACTGACAACGAGTTTTTTACTCGTTAAATGGTTACGAACATCACGCAAAAAACTTTTTCTCATGAAACACTACAAAAGGCTGGTTTTTGTAAAAGAACCTCTTTCATTGCATCGAGCTCGTCGAAAAGCGACCAAAACATTGCATCTGTTAGTTGCAATTCTGACTGCAATCTAGCTATTGGTGTCACTCTAAAAAAAATGATGATAAATACATGGTTCCGTCTTTGAATCAATATTTGAAATAAAACATTAGGACAAACTTGGTTAGTCCACAAAGCATAGCTCTAATAGTATTTCGTTGAGCAGATAAATAAGATCGAGTATAAAGCGCACCACCATCGCGTATAGCATCAACCTTTGAGCCAACTTCTGCCAGAATTAAATTATTAAGTATTTCAGTAGGCAAATTCCATGTTTTTGCTAACTGCGATATAGAAACTATGCCAACATCCATTAACTGCTCGTTCAGGTCTTTACACAACACATCTATATAATCCCTAAAAAAATTCATTAAATAATATGTTAGAAAAAAAGAAAAAAAGATTAAATACAAGTGAACTAAGCGAGTAATTTTAAAACTGCATTTAATTATAAAGTCATCTAAAAATCTTTATTAGAATAACATTATTTTATGATTGACAGTCAATGTTTGTCGAAAAATAATTAAAAAGAACTTTGCTCGAAAAAGATCAATTATTGTCTTCTTGTATTTATTAAACTGAATGGAAAACTATCCCAATTTCATAAATAAGTGTTACAAATGTTGCCAAAATAGTGAAACAACAAATCTGGAAATCAATTCAGCGTTGCAAAGTATGAAATTCGGTGATTCCCTCGAAATGATGGACACCGCACTTTCAATGTGCTCGTAATCGACATTCAAAGATTGCGCCAAATCATACAGTGAAACGCGACCATCTAAAACAAACAAGCAGGATTTATTAAATACTCCATCATCTTCTTTTCAGTCTTTTATTGAGTAATAAATATAAAAGCTGTATTTTCAAAGAGAGCTCCCATGCGGATTATCCTACTCAGTACTAAGTTATGGATGTAAACACAAAAGCTTTCCAATATATTTACTGAATGAAATTTGTGGAAGGACAACGATCGCCAAATAACTTTTATTAGAAACTGTCATAGGATCATATTTGTAAATGCTTATAAAGGTGGGAATGACTAACAACGAGTATTAATAAGTCATG